TTTAATTGTCAAGAACAGCTACAAGTAAGGACTCAGAGTTAGCACAAAAATGTTTTTAAAAACAAACAAAAAAATCCACACCCCAAAACTAAGCAGTATTTGAATTATTTAAATATAAAGATCAATTCCTTATGCTAATCCAAAAAAAAAAAATCCATAAGGGATTTATGAAGTTTTGCATATGGAAGTCCAGGGAAGACCACATATAAATATTCAAGGTTGGGAGGTGAAGTAATAAAGTCAGTGAGAAAAAATGTTGATCATTGATTATCCTGCAAACAAGTTATTTGATTAACAGACCTATCATGTTTTAAATCTTTGAGGTATGACAAGCATCACACATATCTGAGGCAAATGCAAGAACCAGAAAAATACAGTAATTGGAATGCTATTAGATTTAAATTATTGTTATATGTTCACAAAAATGATTCTTAAGAGTACAGTTCTGTAACAAATGTTTAATTTCCTTTCTGTTTCAGATCTACTGAATATTCACACAGCATAATAAAACAAAGATTCCTACAATCAGATGCATTATGGATGTATGGAGCTTACCTAATGACTCAAAACCAGATAATGACACATTGGCAATGCTTGAAAACCGTTCCGTCACAACGATTTTGCCTGTGGTTTATTCATTTGTGACTTTAATCAGTATACCTGGAAATCTCGTGTCTCTTTGGATTTTAGTATTTCATTCCAAACCTATTACATCGTCGATAGTCCTAATGATCAATTTGAGTGTTGCAGACTTAGTCCTTGCAATATTTCTTCCATTCCAGATCATTTATCATATCAACAACAATAACTGGATCTTTGGAAAGGGTCTTTGTAATGTCGTATCTGTGCTATTTTACGCAAATATGTATTGTTCAATATTAACGATCATGTCAATTAGTATTGAACGCTATTTGGGCATTGTTTACCCTATGAAATCAAGTACATGGAGAAGAAAAAGGTATGCTGTTGCTGCCATCATATTTATTTGGATATCTACACTATTATCATTATATCCAATGGAATCAACAGACCTAACCTACAAAGTGAGTCATTTAAACATAACCACTTGTTTTGATGTACTCAAATGGAACATGTTACCAAATCTCATTACTTGGGCAGTATTCATTCTGGGACTGTTTTTCTTCTTGTTTTTGATACCTTCGGTAGTGACTGTGTTTTGCTACATTCGTATTATCTGGACACTCGTTCGGACTTCAAATAGAAATGGAACGGGAAAAGAAAGAAGACCAATAAGCCTTGCTCTGATTGTTCTTTTTGTATTTGTAACTTGTTTTGCTCCAAACAATTTTATCCTGATGATACACACAATTTATCGACTTTTCTACAACAAAAGTTACTATCATGCCTATAAACTTACACTCACAATGAGCTGTCTGAGCAGCTGCCTTGACCCTTTTCTATATTATTTTGCATCCAAGGATTTTCGCAAGAAAGTGCTGGAGGTATGGAGTAAAACATTCAGTCGGGATAAAATATTTGAAGGGAGACGAGGCAGTTTGTTCTCGGGCACGTTTTCAAGTGGACACGCAGAAATCATAGAAAATGGAAATGGCTGCAAATATAAGTTGCAGGAAAGTGATTTGTAGGCTTGCAATAAAAACATGACTTAATGAGCTAAAGGATTAAAAGAATGACCGGGTACCAACTTCCAAAAGCCCGTTTATTAAGTGTTAAAACAGGAGACCCAATATATCCTGTGATTAGAGATGCATGGCATTCAAATGCATTTCTATGAAGAATTGTTTTGTTTATATTTAACTTTCAACAAAAGAAAAGGGATTTGTAGTTTTGTAAATAGTGAAAAACATGACATGTGATAGGACATGAGTTACATTATTTCATCGTATATTAGAGAAGATATTCTCAATACTGCACTCTTTTTTTTCACTGGAAAAAAATGCTTTACTGAACTCCACCGAGCACTAGAGTAAATAATCTACTGCATTTCTTTTTGCTAACCAAAGACACTATACTGTATATATAGACACAGTAATGTAAAATAAATTCTGTCTAGTTGCAAAACTGGATCAATAAGAGCATTAAATGTCTCAATGCAAGCAATCTTTTGGAATCCCTTATGATGTATTATTGCATGTTTTTTTTCCCATCTGTTTTGTCATCTGTGAAAACTGAAAAATTCATTAAAAAGTAAATTGTGGTGAATTGAACCTGATTTGCAAAACTCAGGCATAAATAGCAAAGCTCTCTCTATATGTGAGGTGATAATTTTATACAACTCAGTATTTTAGCCTGAATTTAGAAATGTATTTTTTAGTTTACTAGAATATACAGTTTAGAGAAAAACAATAGAGAAGGCAACTCGTGAATAAAGTTTCCAATTCGAATCCCTTCAAATTTAAAAAAAGATATGAATAACCCCCCACAACCCCTACATTTCACTTAATATTGAAAAATGGCACGTGTTCAACGAACACTCTTTCTAAGCTAAGCCTGGAGGTGCAGGTCTTTGCTCATTGGCTGAGAGTGATCAGTTGATTATATTATGCAATGAGCCAGTCCTGCACTGCTTCCAGTTTCCTGACTGCACAGAGGAAGCAAGAAGTGACTTACAATGATAAGGAGGGCTGGATAGTGATGCAGGGCTCTCCAGGATGCCTAGCATTTACTCTAGTTGTGGTTATGGTGTTGGTTTCATTTAAAAGGTTTAAATACTTACTCTGGGAATGAATCATGGACTCCTGGTACAGTGGATATTAGTCACACATATATATATATATATATAAATATATATATATATATATATTTGTAATCGGGGACAAAGGCAGAGAATGAAATTAGTCGGTTGTGTCGTGCCAAAACCGACGTTCGGGTAAGCCTGTATAAAATAAAAAGGGCAAAAGGTTTTAATGAAAATACACACTTTATTGCATTTAAACAACATATTATAATACCAAAGTTGAATTCAGATAAGCAGTGGTGAATCTAGTGAACAGTGTCATAGTTCTGTCGTAACTTTTTTGCGTGTTATGAGACAGTGCAGCCTGAGCCAGCAACCTGCTGTGCTCCACTATGTGTCCTAGTCCAGAATCAGGTCTGAGAAAGCTGGAGTGTTGCAAGGAAGCAGCCTGGGTGAAGGTTGAAGAAAGCCTGCAATTGAAAGTGGGATAAAGCATCAGCGGCTAAGTTATGAAAACCAGGAATGTGCTTGCACACCAGGAAGAATTGTTTTGTGGCCACCAACCATGTCAACCGTCTAATCAGCTTCATGAAAATGAGTGATGAGGAGCGGCCTTTGTTGATAATATCACAAATCATCACATTATCCGAGAAACAATTGACAGACTGCCATTGCCATAATGCTCCCCATGTAAATGCGGCTGCCACGATAGGATAGATTTCAAACAGAGCGGATGTCTTCTGAAATGCTGGTAAGTTAATGGCCTACGCAGGCTAAACGTCTCTTAACCATCAGTCACCAAAAATGGCAGCGAAGCCTGTGTGTGCAGCCGCATTGGTCCAAATCGAAGAATTATCGGACAATAGGGGCACAAACAGATCTGCCATTACAATTGTCAAGGAACTGTTGCCACATGATTAAATCAGCTCTGACTTTAGTAATCCTGCTGTGGCTACCCGGGGCACCAGGTAAGATGCACAATAGCCTAAAAATAAATTATCGACCCTGCAGGATGATCTGCATGGAAATGTTAAGAGTGCCCAATAAAAATTGCAAGTCTTTCCGTGAACAAGCTCTGTTCCTCATGAATTCATGCACGTCATTTTTGATTCTCAGGAGCTTGTCCACTTGTCCGAGGACTGTGTTTAACTGTATACCCAAGAATACCAGGCAAGTGGTGGGTTCTGCGGTTTTGTCTTGGGAAAGTGGAACCCCTTGGCTGGAAAACAAGGTCTGTGCCTTGATCAGGTTTTGCAGAACCAATGACCTGTCCTCAATTGTCAAGAAGTCATCCAGGTAGTGGATCACAACCGGACATTTGACAATATTGAGGAGGAGCCAAAGACATCGGGTGGCTTTTGGTCCCAATGGTCAACCTGGTAGCAAAGTAGTAATAACCTCTCCATTTCACTCCATGTAGATGCCATAGTGATGGAACAATGGGAAGTAGTTTGAATTTTTCATGTCCGTCTTAGAGAGCCATGCTGCCCTGCACATCCGCAGAATGGTGTTATCTACTGAAGTGTAATGGTGAGAAAATTTAAGTGAAGTTATTAGAGAGTTAATCCTGGGAATGACTGAAAAATGTGGTGCGGATAGGTCAATGATCAATCTCTTTATATTGGTGACTCTGCTAGTAGCGATGCGAATTGGATTGGTGCGCCAGTATGCAAACAGGGTATTGGAAAATGGGCCTAGCATGAAACCTTGTGGGATTTCCTGTTGCAAGAGCTGATCTACGGTGTTGGGTTTGAGAATGCTGATTGCAGGTTGAGACATTCCAGTGATCCTGCGGGAAGTGTGATTATACCGGTGTGAAAGCCCCGTGATCAGGAATTCCACCAAATGGGGAGAGGGGTGATTTTTTAGGTGAAAAGCCAGGTTGTCAATATTAATCTCTGTGTGTCATTTTTTAGGGAACAACCTATTTGGGCACATTGACCTAGCATGAGCTCAGAAGAACAAGGAGCAGACGTGCAACAGATGGCAAGCACTGAAGCCGCAACTGCCAGCGTTGAAATTGTTACATATCTGTGCCTTACCGAGGAACACGATAGGTCTGCCCAGTTTATCTTTCAGACCTCGTTGTTCGGGTTTGGAGCTACCAGAAGAGACCTAAAGAGTCAGCTTCACTGGGACACAGATTGGTGGAGTGTGAAATTGAAGCACAAATGGCGCAAGATGGAGGGCTTAGCCCTGCAAAGTGGCAACAGAATAGTTTGGTATCTAACTGGCTCCAGTCCGAACAAAGGTTGAACTGGGCAAATGCTGCCCCTGCTTTAGCAGAAAAAGATCTATGATAGCCACAGAATGCATGACCAAAGAAAAAAAAAAAAGTTACCTGCGCTCTCTCCTTAATCCCTATGTATATTTAAACAAATGGCAGGCGGGCATTCCCTCCATTTGACCTCCATTTGTCTAAATATACATAGGGATTAAGGAGAGAGCACAGGTAACTTTTTTCCTTTGGTTTTTTACTATATATTGTGGCTGATGTGTACTGTGGTCGTTGCTGCCACTCAGGAGCGATGGGAGTGAGTGCAGGACTTATCTTTTTGTATTTGTATTCACTTTTTGTATCACACAGCTATGTTACAATGCTGCCGCCCATCCCATGTGTTCCCTATTAAGGGTTAATAAGAATATAGGGGTGTTTATAAAAAAATACCCCTTTCTGTCTCATTAGAGATATCTTTGCCAGAAGCTCAAGGAAGCAAGGTGAAGAGTCATTGTAGAACCCGCTTAGGGGGTCTGCCTTGACGTTGGCAGGTGGGCATTCCCTCCAATGGCCATTGGAGTAACTAAATGACCTCCATTTGTCTAAATATACATAGGGATTAAGGAGAGAGCGCAGGTAAAAAAAAATTCTTTGTTTTTTACTATATATTGGGGCTGATGTGTACTGTGGTCGTTGCTGCCGCCCAGGAGTGATGGGAGTAGGACTTATCTTTTTGTAATAGAATGCATGACCACTGTACTTGTGCCCCAAATCCATCAATTTGCGTAGATACAGATCCATCTCCTCCCTGCGGTGATGGTGCTGTGAATAAATTACATCCCTATAAAGCCTGAAAGCCAATACGAACCCCAGGGATGGAAAGTTTTTTTTTTTGTGGGCTATCAAGAGCGCGCAGCCCAGCACCCCACCGACACTAGAGAGACACCCAGCACTCTACCGACACTGGAGAGACCTTATATGGACCCAGGATATCTTGTACTGCGAACAGTTAATTTGTACCATCAAATTGTATATATTACAGCTTTACCTGCCACAGTACAGAATTACAGGCCTACGTTAAAGGAATTCTACACGCTTGAGATTCCCGCCGATATGCTGCTCGTGGACCACATGCACCGGGTCCCACGCAATCTACCAGATTCTACTCCTCGAGATATACTGCTCCAGGCACATTACTATCACATCAAGGGACATATCCGCAGAGCCAGCAGGAACAAAGCTAAACCGCCAGAGGACTACCTTAATGTGAAACTCTTCACAGATCTATCTGCAGCGACACTCCGCAGACAAAGGGACTTTGCATCTGTCGTGGATCCTCAGAGAGAATGGTTCTCTACCAAAGTGCTGGTTAACAAAGAAGGGAGAATGATACTGTGACAAGACCAATCTCGCCACTGTGCATTGGAGGAGCCTGGTTGCCCTCCTGCTGCCTTTAGACTATGGCCCCATGTTGAAACACTTGATTTATCAATGCAAAGACACGAAAGCCGGGTCATTCGGTACTTGCCCTGTTTGAACAGTGATACCCCAGATAGCTATGCCATTTGTATAACGAAAGACTATGTGAGAGACTTTGGCTCCATGGCAATTGAACTGTATGTATGTGATCTGAGTGCCATTCAGTAATAACGTGTGCTCAGATCTAAGCTATCTGGGGATATGTTGAATGTACCTGTTTTATGCAATAGCTGCACAGTTATATATTTTGATGTATTTTATTGTATTTTTCTACCATGTGGCTAATGGAGTTTTGCCTCTGTCCTTGGAGATAATTGGATTACTTCCCAATTATCTCCAGGATAGAAGACTCTGTGGAACTGGTTTTGGGCAGAAAAGCCATGCTTCATTTGGTCACAAAGGACTTCGATCTAACTTTTGACCCACTGGACCAATTTGTATGTGCATGTGATGCATACTTTTAAAGTTATGAATAATGTGGAAAAACTGTATTTCTCTGCCTGTAATAATTACATTAACCCATTGTGTAAGGTAATTGTATCACAGGCAGAGGGGAGGATTTTGTGTGGGAGTGTCTGAGTGTTTTGTACGTGTTTATTGGTTGTTTTACAAAGCCCTGTGAGTGGTACTAATGTGTAAGAATGTGTATATAAGAACAATAAACCCACAGCTCTGTCTGATCACTGCTTGACCCTCAACACGGAGCCTTGTCTTGTTCTTGGGGGGATTCATTGTATGCTGTTCCAATTCGACTGCTAGGCGTGTAAACCTTTCGGATGGTTTTTCCTATTCGACTGTTTACAGGATTCGTATGTTTGAGAGCATTCATATGCTTCCCCAGTTCGGTGGATTGGTGTCTACAGTAGCTGTGCCTGTGTCTCTGGAAGGGGAAGATCAACTAAACGGCGGTTTAACCCTTTTATGCCTGGGGGTGCCATTACAGATACCTATACTCTCCCCGGAAGACGTATTCTGAATGCCTGGGGCCTTGACAATGTACTGGAGATCCTGGGGCCTTGACAACGTACTGGAAGACCAGACGGCAGCCCTGCACAGAAAAATCAAGTTGGACTGGTACAAAACCCCCAGCACACGCTAAAAACCCTGGACTGTTGGTAGAGGTTAACACAGTAAAGGAGTTTAAGCATGCGTGGGATAGGCATAAGGCTATCCTAACTATAAGATAAGACTAGGGACTAATGAAAGTATTTAGAAAATTGGGCAGACTAGATGGGCCGAATGGTTCTTATCTGCCGTTACATTCTATGTTTCTATGTTTCACATACAGAGTCTCCCAGTACCGCAAGTACCTCTTATGTATACACGATGGACCTACCGGTCCATCTAATAGCTAAACACTGTGTATCATGTACCCATAGCTAACGTATAAATTTGTATATATACTACTCTGCATGATGCCTTAGTGAAGTGACCCCACCCCCCCAATACCTTGCACCCTAATGCACCCAGATGTACCCCCCTGCAGCAAGCGCACGGTGAAGTGACAAAACAGACCGCTGCCAACCCTCTGGGAAACAAGGTTGGCTAATTTCAATTACCCTACATGATAACGGTGATTCAATACAAAGTCACAACACCAGAGCCCTGTCAGGATTACTGTTTGATCCAGCACGTAGAACTGTACAGCACGGATGACAAATAAGTAACGTATTACCAGTCCTTAGAATGGCCGGATTTAACGTACAAAGAATAGTCAAAAATACTAGCCGAGGTCAGGGAACACAGAAAGGGACACAGCGATGAGGAAAGCCAGGAGTCAGGATGCCAGAATATAGAGAAGTCAATAAACAAAGCCAAAGTCAAAAACCAGGTAGAAAACTATAAACAGGAACGCGCTCTCAGACAACCACAAGGGAAACCACGACGGGGCACTGAGCAGGCTGAGAACTGGGCCTAAATACCCCTCCTTTCTTTCTGATAGGCTGTAACCGGCCTTTGACCCCAAAGTCAGTTACCAGGTTTCATTTGCATATTTGCTGCTCAGCATTAACCCTTCTGTGGATTAGGTTGCTGTTCGGCACAACTTTTCCTGTGTGGACAGTAAATGTCATTAACCACTTTTCTATAAGCGGATGAATACATGAGACCAGGTTTCATTTGCACAATTACTGCTCAGCATTAAACCTTCTGTGGATTAGGTTGCTGCTCAGCACAACTTTTCCTGTGTGGACAGTAAATGTCATTAACCACATTTCTATAAGCGGATGAATACGTGACATTACCCCCCACCTGAAGAACGCCCACCGAGCGGACAGGACCAGGCTTGAGAGGAAATTTAGCGTGAAAAGCGCGGATCTTACGGCAGGTCAGGAGCCGAAACCCAAGAACGATCAGCAGGACCTTTCCAAACAACCAAGTACTGTAAAGTGCCCCGTGAAAACCTAGAATCCACGATAGAAGATACCTCATACTCTTCCTGACCACCCACCACCACCGGAGGGGGAGGAACACAAGGAACAGTATATCTATTGCAGAAAAGAGGTTTGAGTAAGGACACATGAAAAGTGTTGGGAATCCCTAAAGATGCAGGAAGAGCCAGAGAGTAAGACACTGGATTGATCCTACGAAGCACTCTATAGGGACCAAGGAATCTGGGGGCAAACTTCATGCTAGGGATCTTAAGCTTGATGTTGCGAGATGACAACCAAACCCGGTCCTCCACTTGGTACACCGGGTTGGCACTCCTACGCTTATCAGCAAAATGTTTGAAGCGTTCAGCAGCAGCCCCTAGAGCAGTTTGAACCTTAACCCAGGTATCCCGAATGGAGGCCAGACGCTCATCCAGAGCAGGAATGGCAGTATCAGAAAATACCGCAGGGAGAACCGTAGGATGCCTACCATTATTGACAAAAAATGGACTGTGCCCAGAGGAGTCATGAACAGCATTGTTTCTAGCGAACTCGGCCCACGGGAGTAGTTCGGACCAATTGTCTTGTGTGCTATTAATAAAACAACGCAAATAAACTTCTAATGACTGGTTAGCCCTCTCAGCTGTACCATTGGTCTGTGGATGATAGGAGGAGGAGAAGGAGAGATCAATCCCAAATTGTTTACTGAACACCCTCCAGAACCTGGACACAAACTGAGAGCCCCTATTGGACACAATATTGTGGGGGATGCCATGCAAACGGACAATTTCACGTATGAAAATTAGGACCAAATCTTGCGAAGATGGCAACTTCTTGAGAGGAATGAAGTGAGCCATCTTAGAAAATCGGTCTACAACCATGAGAATAGTAGTGAACCCAGCAGAGCTAGGAAGCTCTACAATAAAGTCCATGGATAAGTGGGATCATGGAATCTCAGGAACAGGAAGAGGCTGCAACAGGCCACAAGGAAGTGCATGAGTCACCTTAGAAACTACACACACAGAACATGCCTGCACATACTCCTTTACATCTTTCCTGAGTGAGTCCCACCAAAATGATCTAGTGATCGCGGCAGTGGACTTATTGATGCCCGGATGTCCAGCAGTTATATTGTCATAGAACACTTTCATGATATTAACCCTTTCACATAGGGGAACGAACAGTTTATCACACGGTTTACCACTGGGCGCCTGAGGCTGGGCCTCCAGTATGGTGCCAAGCAGTGGAGAAGACAGTGAGAGGACAGTAGTGGCAATAATACACTCTGGTGGAATAATAGGAGATGTCACCTGTTCCGGAGCTGACTCATTATCAAATTGCCTGGACAAGGCATCAGCCTTGGTATTTTTAGAACCAGGTCTATAAGT